CACTTCGATCAAGCACGATCAGTTATTGCTCAGCATATTTAACAACTGATTGATTCTACTTGTAAACTATGAATGTTCATTTTATCATTTGTTCGGTTTTGCTTTTGATCTTACTCTGCAAAGAAAAACTTATTGAATCAATGTATTATTGTAGATTACAAAGAAAAACCCAACAGCTCTCCAACGATTGTCTAAGTAGCCTGTAACCTACCTTATCAAAAGCATTAATGGCGGAAACCGTTGCAACTGGGAAAACACGCAACCGGACTCTCAATGGCTAGAAACTCTTCCATCTAACGGTTACTAAACTACCTCAACTATGAAAGGCGTGAAGAAGCATTAAATGAACAGATTGAATACGCGAGCTACCCTCTGTTGATCATTTACTGTTGCATTCAATACTCTGTTCTTCCATACACCGAGCTTCAGTGATTATCATTTATTCACTCTGTAAGAGAGTTTATATGTTTTATCATTAATCACGTCTTGTGTGAAACTCAAGAGTGTGGACTCTTGAGTGGGATTGTAACCTTACGGGTAGTAAGGGGGAGTGATTAAGAGTATCAATTACTGTACTAAGGCACTAAGAGCTCGATCAATCTTGGAACATAGTGCAATACTCAGAGGTGTTCTGAGGACTGGACGTAGTTCAAATGGTTGAGACCGAACCAGTATAAATTCTGTGTCCACTTTTCTACAGTGAAATCTCTCTAACTCACACTCTGTTTCCATTAGTTCATTGTTTTAATTTCGCAAAATTTTTATATCTCACCCAATTCACCTCCCTCTTGGTTGAGACTACCACTAACATAGCTGTAAGTTCATCATCCACTTCAAGGATAAGCTCTTCATCAAGGTTTACATTCATAAAGTAATTGCAAAGAATGCAACATGTAGCAATGATCAACTTTTGAGCTTTGACACCATAAGTAGGCTCTGCAGTACTTGATAAAATTACAAATCTTTTTTTAATACTCCAAAAGCCCATTCAATTGCTTTACACAATAATGCATGTCAAATATTGAAAAGTTTTCTATGATTTTGGGGCGAATTTCTACCTAAATGTTCTTTCAAATGGTACCAAACTCCTCTATAAGATGTTGTAAGACTACCTGTTAACATGAATCTAGCATTGACTAGGTAATATTTCCCTATCATCAAATGAAATAGTCACTTTATTAGTTTTAAATTTGTGATGTTATTTAATTATTTCACTTTTTACTAATTAGTAGAACTATTACCTTGAAGAATCTTAAGGCTATCTTCTTGTCTTAATGCATCTTTTATAATCCTTAAGTCAAATGTAGTGCCTTCCCACCTAACAAGCACATAAGTGAACTTTAAATAGAATGTGCAAGTTGTTAACACATTTTGTGTAGGGAATTCCTTCCTACCGTAATAATAAGGAACATCCACCCTAGGTACTTTAGCACATATGTGTATTGTATCTATAACCCTAACGTAGTCCTTAAAATATAGCTAAAATTTATCGTTAACCTGAATTTCAGGAGGGACTCTAGAGACATCTGGTTGTATAAGGAATTTATCTTCCAATCTAATGATAGCATCTAATACACTATGGAAATGACAGCTAACCGTCTCACTAGAATGTCCACTACTTAAAAAAAAAAGTTATTTTCGTCTATTTTGGAGGCCTTTTTTTGTCTGTTTTGAGGGGGACATAGATGAAGCAGATGTAGATAAAAGCTGTTATTCGTCTATTCGAAATAGACGAATACGACCCATCATATTTGTCTGTTCAATCAAAACATACGAAATGACACATCAATAGACGAATATGTTCCATAAAAAAAATTTCCTCACAAATATGAAATTGCCCGAATTTTTTTACAGAAAACCCTGAAAGATTTGCAAAAAATAAAGTATAGCCAATTCAACAGATTCAAATCCATTTCATAATCCACAATTCTATTAACATCAATACACAATAATTCAATAGATTCAGATCCATTCCATAATCAACAATCCTAATAACATCAATACATAATAATTCACCAAATTCATATCCATTCCATAGAAAAGAATATATACACAATCCTAATAACATTCTAATATGTTTTAACAATCAAAATAATCCTAGACACTTTAGTACCATCCAAGCCAACCTCATGTATCATTTTGAGAGTAAAACTCTTGAAGAAATTGTCCCACCAAACAATCTCGGATAGCATCAATCTCTTCATCATTATAATAGTTGTCATCATCAAAGATCTGTAAGTTATAAATAAGAAGATTGAATTCATCAAAATAAGATAATTAAAGAAAAACAATTCAATAGAAAAAAGCAAATAATCATAATTAAATGAATTATTACCATCTCAAAATTTTGAATACATTCAGACTCAATAATTTCATATATGAAACGGATAATATAATATCCACACTCTACACTTCCTGGTTGTCGATGACACTATAAAATCAAAGTGAATATGAATATGTATATATTAGTTGATGACATTAAAGATTGAAAATGTTCTTACTTTTGTTTGTGCTAAACAGTCTTGCCATTTTTTTCCCTCACGTTTCCCTTCTCATATATAATATGTTTTGAAAGACCTATGACCAAATAGAAATGACTAGAGATTAGAACAACTTAATGAAGTAGGAAAACTAAATATATGATGATAAAACTTATGTGTCAAAGACATGTTTCATTTCCTTGCTTGGGGGACGACTCAATGCATTAAACCAGTAAATGACATTATCTCTGGGGCAAGGAATGCACAACGACCAATGTCGACTGAAATATAACAAGAAGGAAAACCTGTATAATATGCAATCATTAGGACAAGCGTGTATTTTTTCATAGCCCATTCCTATCTAAGACAAGATTTTCTTTGGCTCATAGACACTATTTGGAAGAACATTATCAGTCGGAAGCATATCACCTAACAATTGAAGTAATTCCGTAAAACTTTTATCTGTCCATCCATTAGTTGCCTTCAAATTGAATAACTTCAATACAGCTATCAACAGTGTATACGTAGAACACCGAGGGTATAAAGCTATTTCTACATCACTTTGCAAGCTATCATTTATATGTGATTGTGCGGAGAGCCCCAGCCTAACATCATGAATCATATCATGCATTCTATCATTGAATCCACCCACCACTTCCTCTTCTTCAACCAATGGCATTGTTCCTCTTTCACCATGCCATATCCATATTGTATATTGAAGATTTATCCTCTCACAAAATAAGTGATCCCTTAAACCATCAATAGTCAATCGTTTCCCATTTAAACAATTAATACAGGGGGAAAAATACTTTTCACTTTTGTCATAAGCATTCCTCTTGGTAAATTCAATAAATTCTTCTACGTCGTCCTCATACTCCTTAGATGCAAGGAAAAAAAACAGACCGGACTGGCTGGTTCAATCGGAAAACTGGTAAACCGGTCTCTAGTTGGTCCGGATGAGTTGCTTAACCGGGGAACCATCGAACTGGGAAAAAACTGGTCCAACCAGTTATAACCAGAATGAACCGGGTATTTCCCGGTTGGCTGGTTGGTCGGTTTTTTTGCCTGTTAGCACCCCAAAAACATTGTCGTTTTATTTATTGAAAAAAATTTTTTTTTCTCTTTGGTTCTTCCTTTCCTTTTTGCTCACAAGTCGCAACTGTCTCCCATTCTATCTTTCATTTTCCCTCCCCTGAAAACTGAACCTGGCAACAGCTCACCCGACTTCCTCCCTCAAACCAAAATCAATCCCTGCTCCTTAGTGTCGCCGACGGCACTACAGTCTCTGACAGAGGTCATTGTTCAGCAGAGCTCCAAAATCACAGTCGTAGCTAGTCTGATCTCCCTCAATGTCCTCGCAGTCTATGGCAGATCTGAAACCGAAAATCACAGCTTTCCACCTTGCAAAGTCGCTATCTATCACATCACTAGTCTGGCGGTTTGAGCTCGCAGGTCTCCCTCAGCGTGACCACGTCCTACTTGGCCTTTAGCATTCGCAGTTTGGCAGTTCACAGAAGCTAAATCCAGAGTCATAGGTCTCCCTCAAATCCCACTCGGCCACTCAGCATTGTCCCTTCAGTGCATTAAGTTGTGGGTAAGCTCAAAACTTTTCCCTTTCAGCTAGATTGTGTTTTTAAGATTAAAGAGATGTATTTGTTCTGCTTTTTTCTCTTCAGCTGTCGAAAATTTGGCAGGGAGGAGATGAAAATTGTATTTTGATTTCTGATGAATACTTGAAGTAGGAGAGAAAAGTAGATGAATTTGCTGAAATAATATGGATTATCGGATTAAATTGATTATGGACAATATACAAAGTATGAACAGATTAAACTGATAACTTAAATTGATTTTGTTTCCTTTGGAGATTGGATTAAATTGATTCTGGATAGATAATGTTTCACATGTTTCCATGTCTGATGTATTGATTGGTGATGTTTTTTATTTGAAGATTTAAGACATATAATTATGTACAGATGCATACGTTATGTTTGTAACTTGAAGCATTGATTGACATATCGGTATATGGTAGATAAATTGATACTAGATTAAATTGATTTTGTATGGATTTTGTTTCCTTTCCAAGAGGTAGCAGTGATGGATATTTCAAATAATCAAAGTTCTAGAAATGATAATGTCACTCCTAATACTAAATCTTCGACTCCCAATACTAAAACTTCCACTCCTTCTGCACCCACTTCTTCATTACATGCAAAGACTGATCCTGCATGGGAACATGTTGCTTATTAAAAAGAAGGGACACAAAATGTATACACATGCCTTTTTTGTGGTAATAGTTATAGAGGTGGTGGGATAAAAAGAATGAAGCAACACCTTGCTGGTATCACTGGTCAAATATCTTCTTCTAAAAAAGTTTCGCATGATGTACATCATAGAATGACAAAATCTTTAAAAGAGTGTTAAAAAAAATCTATTGGAAATATAGAAGAAGAAATTGAAGAAACTCACATTGATTCTCCAATTATCATGAGTAGTGCAAAAAAAAGAAAAGCTACGGGGAGTATGGACAATTATTTTGCTCCTCGTACAACTCCTGATTCCCAGCCAAGTATTAAAAGTGCATTAGCAACAAAAGAAGCAAAACACAATGTGAAAATGTTGATTGCTGAATGGGCAATTGTGAACTGTATTCCATTTAAAGCATTTGATTGCCCGTTATTTCAAAAAGCTGTAGATGGTATTGCTTCAATTGGCCTTGGGTTTAAAGCCCCTAGTGCTTATGATTTCAAAACTAATTTGCTGAGTGATTGGAGAAAAGAATGTAAGTTACTTATTGATAGCCATCGAGCTAAATGGAAAAACAACGGCTGCACACTCATGGCTGATGGATGGACTGATATCAGGCAACATACTTTGATAAATTTCTTAGTGTATTCTACTCACGGTATGGTATTTGTGAAGTCTGTTGATGCATCAGATCTAGTCAAAGATGCTAAAACTTTGTTTACACTATTCTGTGAAGTTATTGAGTGGATTGGTCCTAAGAATATTGTTCATGTAGTAACTGACAATACAACCAACTATGTAGCATGTGGCAGGTTGATTAAGGAAAAGTATAAAAGTATTTATTGGTCACCTTGTGCTGCTCATTGTTTGAATCTTATATTGAAAGACTTTTCCAGCATGTCTCATGTGTCAGACCTCGCATCAAAGGCATCAAAGGTAACTATCTTTGCATATAATCATATGGTTTTCTTATCATGGCTGAGGAAAAGACCGAGTTGGAAAGAAATTGTGCATCCTAGTGCCACAAGATTTGCTACGACATTTATTACATTGCATAGCATATATATGCATAACAATGACTTGCAGGCTCTAGTGGTTGATAAGCACTTTGTGGACCATAGATTATCGAAGACTGAAGCAGGAAAAAATTTTAGTGCAATCATTTTAGATAATCAATTTTGGAATGATTGTTATCAAGTTGTGAAGATTGTATCTCCTCTCATCAAATTATTGAGAATTGTGGACTCAGATGAGAAACCTTCATTACCTTATGTTTATGAAGGAATACAAAGGGCAAAAATGGCAATTAACGAGATGTTTAAGAAGAATAAGGAACTGTATAAGCCTTACACAACAATCATTCAAACTCGATGGGATAGACATCTGAAGACCAATCTTCATGCGGCATCGTATTTGTTGAATCCTGCAATTACATATGGTCCAGACTATCCTAGCAAGTCAAAATTGATGATGGCTTTAATTGATGTTGTGGAGTCTTACTTAGATGAGGATATTGATGGCTTCCTGGTAATGAAACAAGCGACTACTTATCGCGAAAGGAAGGAATCTTTTACTAGACCCTCATGTCAAAAAGCTGCACAAAAACTAGACCCTTGTAAGTATTATATTCAATTATTCACGGTTATTCACTAATTTTATATAATATTGGATACTAAATGTGTTTTATTATGCAGATGAATAGTAGACATATTATGGTTGTTCAGTTCTAGAATTGCAGCGTGTTGCAATGCGTATTCTTAGTCAAACTTCTGCTTCTTCTGGTTGTGAGAGGAATTGGAGCTTATTTGAAAGAATTCATACGAAAAGAAGAAACAGATTGGAACATAAAAGGCTGAATGATTTGGTTTTCACCAATTATAATCTGCGACTGAAGCATAGGTAATCTTGAAAATTGTGAATACCTTTAGTTTTTTATTTTAATTGATTTATATTTATTTGAAATTTTATTTGTCATTAAAGGATTACATTGAAGAAGAGAAAAAGTTATGATCCAATTGACTATGAAAACATTGATATGGTGGATTTTTGGGTCGCTGAAGAAGATCCCACTCCGGAATTTAATGATAGAGATGTGGCTTCATTCGAAAGCGTCCTTAACAATGAGGGCATTGCTAATTCAACAACTCTTGAGAAGGCTAATGAAGGTTTATAACTTTATATATATAAGTAAGACTTTATTTCTATACAAATATATAATTTTTTGTATGATTGTTAATATTGATCATTGTTTTACATAGGTGATGAAGATATGGACACTGCTGACCCTCCACCTTTACAAGATGATGTTGTTGCTCCTGCTTTTCCTCATCTAGCTGTTGACATCTCAGTCCATGCCAATGATCTTAGTGATGACTTTGATTTTCCATAGTGAAGATATGCATTTCATTAATATTTGCTTGGTACTATTAAACATTAAACCAACTTTTGTAGCTTCTCATCTTTTTTTTTTATTGATTATTATTTATAAATTTTGTTTCATTTTAATATTATGAATTAAATTATATTATTTTAATATGACCGGTCTGACCCCGATTCGACCTCGGTTCGACCAGTAACCCTTAACCCACTGTCTCGACCGGTTTAATACCTCGTCCAGTTTTTTGTTCCTTGCTTAGATGTTCTCAAAGCACTCATCCAACTACGATCAATTTTGTTAATATATAAGTAATTGTAAAAAAATTTTAAATTTAATTTAAGACTGAAATCAATAATACTTTAATTTCATGTAATTCATACAGATAGCCATTTCATCAAACACCATAACTACTACAACAAAATATTTAAAACCACTCCTTCTTCATAATTCATAGATATAATTAATGAAAACAAAAAACCAAATCATATAAAATCAAAAACTCATCAATTCCATTCTATTAATTATACATTTGCATTACCCACAGGTTACTCAAAAATCTAAATTACAATACAATTACAAGCTAGACTCCTAATTCCAATACGTTCATCAAACAACAATAAGCAATATATATGATCAATTAATCTTTAAAAGATATCATACTTACCTATGAAGTAAAGAATGTAAAATGAAAAGAGCTACAGACTACCCACAGGTGAGCTGGAAACACACAAAAAAATGAGTGAAGCAAAAAAAATGTGAGTCGAACATCGTAACTACTATAACAAAATATTTAAAACCATTCATTCTGCATAATTCATGGATATAATGAAAACAAAAATATAAATAATATAAAATCAAAAACTTAATTCCATTCCATTATTGGTTATACATCTATATTTCATCAAAAATCTAAATTACAATACAATCACAAGCCCCCCTAATTCCAACAGGTTCATCAAACAGCAACATAAACAATATGCACAATCAATTAATCCTTAAAAAGATATCTAACGTAACTTACCTATGAAGTGGAGAATTAAAAATGAGGGAGAGCTGTAGATTATCCACGATGAGCTGCAAATACACAAACAAGCAAAATGTGAGTAAAAAAGAAGAAGAGAGAGAGGGAAAAAAATTAAAATGAAAGAGAGGAGTCAACTTTCAATTGAAAAAGAGGATAGGGGAATGTTTTTTGGGGGAGGGTGAGGGGTGTTGGGGGTGGGGAGACACGAGGGGGCCACAGTGGAGGGGTAGGGAACCACAGGGTGGGGGGGACTGGGAGGACCACGGTGGGGTTGGGGGTAGGGAACTGGGGGGACCAGGGTGGCGTTGGGGGGGCCACGACCGAGGGTAGGGGGGACTATGGTGGGGTTGGGAGGACCACACACCAGGGGGCAGAATGGGGAATGGACTTTGGAAGGCTGAAGGTTAGAGCTTTGAAGGTTGGAGGACTTGGGAGCTGAAGGGGAGAGAGAGAAAATGAAGGTGTGAATAGGAGGCGGGAGTGAAAAAAGTAAAGTGCAAGAGATGAATATAGGCCCTAAAACAAGGCCCATATTTTTCTAGTCATCCAACCAGACGAATATGGGCCACTGGCGGCCCATATTCGTCTGGTTGGATGACCAGATGAATATGGGCCCTAATATTTGTCTGGCATTATTGACCAGACGAATATAGAGGCTCATATGTGACAGTTTGGCCCCAACAGACGGATATGGGGCCATATTTTCATCTGTTTTCAATTTCAGACGAAAATAGGAGACGAAAATGGACCTTTTTGTAGTAGTGGTCTAAACCAAAACTTAACCACATGATTTTTTGTTTAATGTGATAAGATGTAAAGGGTTTTAGCAAATTGTTTTTTCACACTTGAGTATCTTGTGGGCTTTAGGCAAGCATCTCTTTCTAACATATCACACAATCCTAAGAAGGCTTTAAGACTCATTCTAACAATATCTCGACCACTAAAAGTGTAAGTTATTCGATACATTACTTCTTCATATACCCTTTCTCTTATAGAACTCATATTATAAGTTATTTTCTTCTTGTGATTATATATCTAAGCCACACAATACTGAACATCAAGACAAACAAGACAGGCTACAAGTCTCCAACATTTTCGAATTATTACATCAAAAAATCCATTTCAGAATCCATCTAACAAATAAAGAAAAGAATTACCCCAAATTAATGACCAAAACAAGTTGACTTAACTAAAAATTTTATATCATCTTGTTATACATATGTATATCTAATTCTCCAGCCAGAAAACATGAATTAACAAGCAGTAAAGTGCATTTATCATGCTCTATATTGAGTGATATCAAGTTGTCAATAGTAGGCAGTCTTGGGGCAACATGCAAAATGTATTTTGGATGCAATTAAATGTAGAACTTCATCAAACTTAATATATGGGTATTGCTAAATGGACAAGACAGGCACACTATTTGTGGCATGTATATACTTTAACTATGAAAGAACAATATATGATGAATAATTAGACTATAAAATCAATAATAAATACACACATTCCTTAATTACATTACAAGTAGTGATGAATAAATATAGCTATAACTCCATAAAATCTATAGAATTTATACCCATGAGTTAGACATCATCATAAGATAGAGATATCACAATGAACTAACAAGACAGTTTATAAGTAAGTGTACTTTGAAGTTATAAAAACACAATCCAATTAAGTTGAGGAAAAAATTACTGACTAAAAATTTATAATGAATGAAAAACTATAGATTGAATAGTCACAATCTGTCAAAGAAAAATTGAGAGGATAAGGCTAATAACAAATGATATTATTTCCCTTATTGTTCAAAGAAAAAGAAGGAGATGGACGAGATTGACAATTTTCCTTCAAAGATCCATTCAAAGAAAAGAGACAAACCTATGATGCACAACACCATACAAGATGACGATGAGGTTGGACTTGATGTTGAAGCTACCAAACAAGATGAGTCAGAGAGAGCAAAGATAGAGAATACAGCTTACAACAAATATAATAGGGTTTACAATTTCCTTTGATAAGAATTGAAAGATAATATAAGTAAACAATGTGCTGAAAATGATACATTAAATAAGCAAATAACAAGATCAAAGAAACACAATAAAGTTCAATATCAAACAAGCACATTAAACAAATAATGGAACAATAATTTCAATTATTACAGTAAATGTTCATTTTTAAGAAACATATTAAACTACCAACTATATAGTAAAGGAACATGTAAAGTTTAGTTCCTAGTATTGTTTTCATAATCAATCAACATTTGATGAGCTATTGCATCCCTTATAGGCTTACCATGAGCTGCTTTAATTCTCTCCCCTCTTAGAGTATTGATAAGGATCTACTATTATACACAATCATGTCAGGACAGCATATACAATAACCAGTGCAGAACTTTAATTGAAATTTTATAAATAAATGTTTTAAACAAAAGTATATGTCTAATTTTAACAAATTTTACAAAGCAAACACATGTATAACTTACTATCTTCTACTCTAATTTTATTAGCTGTGGAAAGTATTCTAACCAAATGTTGCCTATCATTTTCATCTCTTGCTAAGAATACGACTCTATACTTATAATATGCTACAAATTTTAGGAAAAAAATGAGTGATTAATAAGGGAAAAAGACAATAAAATACCATAGAAATTACTAAATGACAAATTAATGTGGATGAATTTCAAAATTCCAATTCAAATCCCTTGTACTATTTTGGAATTTTCAAATCTTGCCAAATTACACAAATGTCCTTCACTATTTTTTTTTAAATATTGCCACCTTAGCACCCATAGCCGATTTCTAGCCACCAGAGCTCTGGCACCCGTGACCCTACTAATGGCCAGTCATCAGAGCTTCGATGAGATGTCTTAGGAACTTCGGTGACTGTTCTTTCATATGTATTGACCACTTTTTTTAAGCTATTGATTACGTTTGTTTTTAGAACTCTAATGACTATTCTTATTTAGCTATTGACTATCCCAGTATTGCAATTGACTACTTTTATTTTAAGAATTTGGTGGCCACTCTTATTTAGCTATTGACTACTCTAATTTTACTATTAACTACTTTCTTTCAAAAATTCAAAAAATACATTAAGTGTTGTTGGAGATCTAGTGACTATTTTTTGTTTAGTTATTTTGCCACTTTTGTATGGCTAATAATTATATATAAGTAGTTGCTAGAACTTTGAAAAACAAAAGTAATCAATAATTAAACTAGAATAGCCAATAACTATATGAAAGTAGAGTAATAACAATGTTGTTATTTTACAATATTTTAAAATTTCAAAATAGTACAAGGAGTCTAATTTGGGATTTTGAAATTTACCCACCCTAATTTGCCTTTTAACATTTTTGAGGGTATTTTAGTTTCTTTCTCCCAATTAATATTTCAATGAAAACTGAACCTCCGATCCAAACCAAAAGCATGAGTTGTAATATGATTATCTTATGAAATAAACAAATGATACCTCTAATGATGATGTCATGCGTATAATCATCACATAATAACAGCATTATATTCCCCATTTTCTAATTGTTTATGACAAAATATATGAATATGCATAAAATAAACAATAGTAAATTCGAAAAACCAATAATATAATTATTCTTATTTGAATTTAAATTTGAAATGCTTACATCTAAATGGACTGAGTTGATATACCAGTTTGATTATTCTTTCCCACCAACTTAAAATACATCTTCAAAAATCTGCTATCAATACTAATAAAACAGCAATATATGCTAATAATATCGAAAAGTAAGAAAGAATTCTATAAAATGAAGCTTGAAATTATTAAAGTCCAAATCAAGTTTGGTAATATTATTTTAATAGGTTTCGACAATACTAGACTTGTAAATAATAACACATTATTTCAGAAATTTTTTATTTGAAATTTAGTAATTTTAAACATCTGTTTGGGAGATTTTTCTAAAACACAGGACTGTTAGCTAAATCGAACCAAGCTAACGTAATCTGATATCCAAGGC